AAAAAAAAAAAAAAAAAAAAAAAATAGTGCCAACTCAGCAAAAGCCAAACAGTCCAACCTTCCTTAAGAAAAGCTGATAATGGTGGCAGGATTCTCTGCCCAAAGGAGACCCTCAAGTCTGTCTACTCTTGGGAGTAGACACTAACACTGTTACAGGATTTTCCTTGGGTACCAGCCATGATTCAGGCAGAGGGGAAAGTGAGATAGAAAGGAGGAACCACAGGGAATAGGGTAAGGAGTAGTTGTGAAAGAATTAGAAGTCGGAAGTCTACTGTAGCAGTAAAGACTGTTTGGGTTCAAATCCTAGCTCCATTTTTTTTTTTACTAGCTGTGTGGTCTTGGGTTAGTTACCCAGCCTCTCTGTGCCTCCATTTTTTTAAATCTGTAAAAAACTGGAATAGTGTCTACTATTGTTCTGAGGATTAGTTAATATATGTAAAGCACTGAGAATGATGTCTGGCACACAGTATTGTGTGTGTAAGTGTGTGTGTGTGTGTACACACATTATTATTAATGACCAGTTGAAGAAGCCATATAAAGTAGGAAGGTAGTATCCATCAACTGTAAAAATCAAACACTGCAATACCATGAAGAGATAGCTGTCATTTAATTAGATTTGCCACAAAAAGCAATAACCTTAGCTAATCACGCTGCCCTCCTCCTCCACCTAACCCCCATCTCCCTTCATATGCACAAACACAGGAACCCAAAGCCCCTCCTCCCCACAATCCTCCCCACTCACATTATGGGAAGAAATGTCACTAAATGGACTTAGCCTCCTCCATATAGCATGGAACAGGTGAATAAAAATATCTTTATGAAGAATTTTGTTGTGCTGTTATCTTAGGGTTGAATCAGGGCTGAGATGGAGGCAGAGGCAAGTGAGGTCTGGGGATCTCTTAGAGATCAGAATTTGTCTGAGAGGCACAGAGCCTATAGTTCACCCAGAAAGGGGGCTATGTCTAAGAAGACAGGGGCTAGAATTGGCTAGGCTGAAAGTTTTTTTCAAGTGTATGTGTGAGGGTAAGGGTAGCTATAAATCCATTCTCCTTCCTCCCCCTATACCTTCCCTAGCTCCCAGATAGAAGGGTAGGGGGCCCTGAGCAGGGAACAGAGTCACAATTCCCCCAAGTTTCATCTGATTCCCACAGAGCTTCCAGCAGGCAGTGAGTTGGGCATATCCCCTGGTGCTGCCTGACCCCTTCCCCCAGCTCAGGGCTTCTTCTCTCCACCTGTGAGCACCAGGGCCTGCAGGATGTCAGACAGTGATACAATTCCCTTGACCACATCATTTTCATCCACCACTACAAGTCGGTGAACCTGGCACAGAACAACAAGGGAAAAAGGGAATGTTTAGTGCTGGCCTCAGGGGAAGCCCCTCTGCCCCTACTCTCCTTGCCAAACCCCACTCTCAAGGTTGCTCCCCTCAGCTCCTTTAGGGTTGCTGGCCTCCCTACCTCTGCTTCCACTAGCCTGTTGATGATGGTCTCCAGAGTCTCATGCAGGTAGCACTTGAGAACACCCTCAAAGTAATGTGATCGATGTTGCAGGGCTTTAGTCACAGATACATCTAGGTTGTTGTAAGTCTTTTCTGCTGCCAGATTCTGGGGAGACAGAGGAAGGAGCTTGCAGGGAAGCAAGAAAGCCAGCCTCCAAACCCTGAACCCATCCAACCTCACCAGAGGGATTCAGGGCAATTGTCAGCCACAAGGCATACCCAACTCATTCAATTCCTTTTCAAATAGGATTTGAAAGCCTGGAAGCTTCTAAGACCCTTAGATCACAGAAGAGACTCCCTTCTCCCTCTCCATATTTAATAGCACCCCCCACCCTTCCCTACCTCCCAAACCCTCCACAATCACTCACGATAACATCAAACTTGGAGTAGATGTCCACCACACGCCCTAGGGGGACAGAGGCAGCTCAGTAAGGAGGATCTGGGGTCTAAAGCTCCCCCTACTCACAGAATCACCCTCCTGGCTAAGCTGAGGGGAAAGCAGATTTTCCCGGAGCCACCCTGACTTGCCTGGATCTTCCCTCCCTCTCCTTCTGCCCAATCTCTCACCCTTCTCGTCCACCACTGGCAAGGCTGAGACTCGATGCTGTACAAAAATCCCCAGAGCCACATAGACGGGGGTGGTAGTGCGAACCATAGCAATATTGGCATAGGTG